GTTTTGAGTTTTGGTTTCGCTCGCTGTTTTTCACTCTTGTTCATTTTCATTTTCACACTATGTGTATTTACGCACCAGTTCTACCCAGTTTATGCTGCAAAGCTCTTTTTTGTACATTTTCAAGGCCACAGGAGATTCGACCTGCACTTGCTCACACGACCACAAGACGTCGCCGGCATAAGGAGGTTACTTTCTGTTCATAAATGATCAGAGTCGATGATGCTGAACCTACTGCCTTGCGAAAAGTTTTCACGCTATTTTAATCCTGTACACAAGTTTTCTACCATCATTTATGTGACTGACAAAGAATCACATAAATGCTGTTGTAAGAGTGACACACAGTGGGTTTTTAAACTTCTACTTGAGGTTTGTTGTGCTCATAGTGCATAAAACAGCAGAGCCCCTCTAGCCTTGAACGCAGATGTGGATCCTTATTAAGTATTCTGCACAACACAGCAGACACATACACAGGACACGCACACACAGTACCACAATAATAACACAATAAAAAAGCTGCACACACCCACTCACGCCAACCCAGATAAGCCTCAAATGTCACCAAGTTCCTGCAATTAAACAGCACAACGTTACCACCATCCCAGCCTCAGCGACAGCACCCAGGAAGGCAGCCTGCAAAAATTAACTCTCTGAACCCCAAAAGCTGCCAACAGCTTTGAAAGGCATGTTCTATTTCGTTTTTTTGTCTCCCAAATGGCACAATTTATCAGAGCGAGATGGTGGAAAAGCAGAAAAGTTCTTGAACTACTCATCTGTGACATCCCATTCTGCTGGGAAACTTGGTCAAATCTGAGCCTAAAATTGTGATATTTCATCAAAATCACTGTATTCTACACTTATTTGATTTTAAAAATTTGCAAAAAATAAACTGTTTGCTCTTACCAAATTCTGTAAAAAAGCAAAAAAAAATCTGTTTCTTGTTGCAATAACCAGCAACCAACAGTCACATGATAACAACTCAAAGAATGACTGGCTGAACTGGGTTGAACTGCAGGCTGTGCTTACACGGGGCAGATAGAAGAGCCAGTTTGGAAACAAATGAAAAATGTTGTAGTTTTTTTCCAGTGTCATGAACACCTGTAGGCACTTGGAAAAATGTTTGACATATGAATTCTAGGGTACACGTGACTTTACTAATAAAATATTTCTTGCATTAGTTCATTTTGTCTCACACTAAATCCTACAAGATTTATTTTGCGAGCATTTAAACCAGCTTTTGTGTTTCTATAATTAGTAGCCCAGAGTTTTCTGTAAGCAGAAGCGGAAGTTGGCCTGATTCTGTCCTGTTTCAAGATACTCATTACTAGAAAACTCCTGCAAACAGTGAAACCTGCGCTGAGAGTGAAAATAACCTCACTACATTTGCACCATAGGCTTTTTCTTTTTTCATACGAGTTTGCAGCAGCAGTAATGACTCAACCTGCAGCTTGTTCGTTCCCCACCTTCCTCCAAACACACACGCACATATATTCAGCTATGTGTGTTACGCAGCAGCTGTTGCCTCCTATTGTCCTGCTTCATCTCGTCTGCTTTAACAAGCCTCCATCACACACAGCCTGATGGTTTAATTAAGACCGATTTGTATGAAAGTGATCCTGTTGATCACATGACTCATTGGTGGCTCGATTTTCTTTCTTTTTTTTTTTTTTTTAATTTTTAATGACATCATTGCAGGGAGGAAACCACAACGACTCTTTGTTGCCGACAAATACACACACTGTGTGGCTCTATTTGCTGTCTGACATTTGGACAAAAGTATGCGGACAGGTTGCCTTGCAGGCCTTTATCAATACATCCACTTACTTTGGCCAAATTATTTACCTGTATTAGACAATACTGGTACACACACACACACACACACACAAATGCATGATCTAACTTTCTGCCTAACACACATGTGGCCAAAAGTATGTGGACAGTTTGCCTTGTTGTCCTATATCAACCTGTCTACTTACATTTAGCCATAATTATCTGTCTGTATTACATGGTGGGCTATGTAGCAGAGACAGAGACAGGGCAGCGAGCGAGGTATAATTACTACATGTCTGCCTTCCTCTCTCTCTCTCTCTTTCACACACAAAAATGTCTAACTCTTCCCGGTCTGACAGATGCAAATATCCAAAAGTATGGAGACGGCTTGCTCTGCAGCCCTTTAATCAACCCGTCCACTTACTTTTGACCATTTTCTTTATTTTTAGTAGACAGTGGGCTTTGCAGCAGACAGACCGGGTGAGTGACATATCATTACATTATTACTATGCAAATGGCCAAAAGCATGTGGACAGGTTGCCTTGTTGGCCCATATTTAACCGTCCACTTACTTTTAGCGATTCTATTTTACTGTATTAGACTTTATGTAGCAGAGACCGAGACAGGGCGAGCGAGGCATCATCACTACGTGTCTGCTCTCCTCTCTCTCCTGTGAGCAGCAGACAGCAGCGCTAACGGGTGAGTCACCGTCGTAACTTCTCATCAGACTGCTGTTTGTCTCCGTCCAGCCAGATGAATGAACGGAGTCTGGGATGGATTCATGGCAGCCAATCAGCAGCCAGACAAAGCGGACCACTACATACAGTCCCCACATTACCATGGAGATTTCACAACACGTCCAACACCAAGTTTGTTTGTTTTTTTAAAAATATGTTTTATGAATCCTCAAAGTCCTGTTGGCCTTTAGCAAACAGGTGTCAGCAGGTAACATGTAGCTGAGGGTAAAGGAGACCAGCATCTCCAGGTGGAATCCAACATCACAAATACATGGCAGTGCGTGAGCCAATCAGAATGCTCCATATGCTCACATTGCCAAGAGCTTTCTTGGGATTAAATGTTCTCTGAAAGCACCAAATGCTGTCATAATGGAGAGAAAGTAGACGATATTGACATGCAATCTTATTAAAGCAAAAACTCAGAAACTACAAGGCCTCCCAGGGGTATAATACTGTAGCTTTAACATGAACTACACGTGTGAAAGCTCTTTACTGGGCTTCACGGACAGAAAATTAACCCCTAGGGAAACTAAAACATACCTTTTAACTACAGTGAGCTGATTGAAAACAGCAGATCGAACATAAAAAAAGCATAGAAACAATGTGTAGCTACACGTCTGCAATCTCGATTCACTTACACAACAAAAGCACATTTAATTATCAGCGAGATGCATTATAACATCATCCAAAGTCAATGTTGTCATCATGCAGAATCCATTCAGACGCTCTGTGATGCATCATTGTTTAAACAGCACTGAATGGTTATGATGGAGCTGATTTTAAAGCATAGAAGAAGATCAGTTCGTCTGTAAAAATGCTTGTTTTGAATGCATTTGTCGCAGATATTAAATGTGAATCTGCAAAGTGACACAGTGGATGATAATTACGTATTTCATGCAAAGGTTGTATGTAAAAGTAGTAGACATCATTCAGGTTTACTGTGTATTGACCTCAGCTGGTGGTTTGATCTCTGACTCTGCAGCTGAATGTTATTTTACTGTTGATGAATCTGTTGACGATTGGCTGTGCATGTTAATTAATCAAAGATATATCATTTACCACCCCAAAAGCGTACGTGAAAATGATTTTAATTATCAACCGGTTTTCATAAATAATAGTGAAAATACATCGAACTACTCGATTCATGGGTTTTGCAGCGGAATATTTCAGCACCTCAGTGCAGCATCACTCTGATAGTTGAAAAGCATCAACCAACACTGGAGCTCCATTCACACACAAACCGCCATCTACACACACACACACACACAGACTTTCTATCGAGAAAAAAGCACAAACACACGAACACACACACACACAGCAGCAAAATCTACTTCCAAAACCATCTCTTTTTTTCTGGAATAAATAAATAAACCCAGAATTAAAAGCCTCCCCCTGCTGCTGCTGCTGCTGCTGCTCTCCATCCTATTGATAGGCAAGGTGGCATCTCTCCCATCCACACCCTACACCCAGTGCGCATGCGTGCCGCGGCAAACAAAGGACCAGGCAATTAACCGACGGAGGATGCTGCTGAAGTTTGAGCCATTGCACAGAAAAACAATGAAATAAAAAATAAAATATAAACCGCACAAATCGACGCAGACAGAATGGAAAAAACAATAAAAAAAGAACTTAGATGTGCAGCGAGGAGTGGAGGAGGAAATTCACCCCCCATCACCCCAAATCCCCACCCTCTTCTCCCCCCCACCCCTCCTCCTCCATCCTCCTGCTTCTTCTCAGCGCAATAAAATGGAAATATGAGATCAATAATTCATCTGAATCATGACATAATCTGGTTAGAGCCGCTGGATGTGCGGCTCGGAGCAGCCGAACGGTGTCACACCTCCGCACAGACAAAGAGGTGGAGCGAGCAGAGGGCTCACTCCGCTCATTTCTGGATGTTCAACTGTTTACTGGCTGTAAATTATGAGAAGAAGAAAAAACACCGCCACCACCCCTCCTCCTCCTCCTCCTCCTCCTCCTGCTGCTGCTCCTGGAAATTATATAATCATAAACGATGCCAAAGCAATCAATAAATAATAAAGAGTGCGTGAGTGCGCGCACCGGCTGAGGAGACGCTCCTGTGCGCCGTCAAAGCGCATTTTTTCCCTCAATAAAAGTGTGAAAAACGAGAATCTGAGCGTCTGAGCGCGTGTTCCTCCAGACTGTACACACCCCTTTTTTAAAGCTCGTGCACGCATCTGTCGCCTGGACAAAAAAAAAAAAAAAAAAGGAGGAATTTTCTTAATTTTCCAACTCAGTCCCTTTAATTCATTTTAATTTCCTCATTTTCCCCATCAAATCTCTCCGTCTTTTGTCTGGTTCCCTTCGAGCCAGCGTGCGCACCGGCTCCCCAAATGGAGAAGGTGGAAAAAGACAAAAGAGATTTTTTTTTTTTTTTTTTTTGGTAAAATGAAATTAAAACAGCCACAAACGCCCAAAAGGGCAGATTTTGTGGGTGAGAACCGGCGCAGAGTGGACCGGCGGGGCGGCTCTTACCGTCTAACACCGAAGTTCCGACGCTCCCTCTGCTCTCCTCGCAGGTTCGAGTAGCGGCTGCTGGATTTTTTTGCGGCTTCTCCTGCGCGCCCAGCGGCTTGTGCCTGCTGCACGGAACGGCTCGGCTCGGCGATCCTCCGCCTGCGCGTACACGCACCCGTGCGCACGTGCACGCGCGAGCCTTTTGTGCACGCATAGCAAGAAGCACAGTGGAGGAAAAAAAATAAGAATGTGTTCTTGAATCTTTACGCAATATTCTGTTAAAGCGTTACGGTGCGTTTGTAGCTCGATGTTTTTAGTTAATATTCCGAAAGAAAATGTATGTGATATTTAGAGTTTATTTATGGAAAATTCACTTAAAATGCTAAAGCTGCCAGATTCCACAAGCATTCTAAGAATATTCGCTCTATTTATTGCAAACTGACCAAATTCTAGTCTAGTTAGTTGCACCAAAAAGCCAATCTTGGCGACTTAATGTGCTTGTTTTCTCTCAGAGTTAAATATTTCCTGAGAGGTGGTATTTTTAAAATATTTGCTCACATCTTGCGTTGCGCGCTCCATAAGAATGTCCATTTTCTGTGCGCTCTTTTTAGAGGAAATACTCCTCCCTTCTCCGTTTTTGTTGCCTCCGTGCGCCCCCTGCCCTACACTCGTGTTCTGTCTGGATCTGCAGAGAACCTGTTGGTGAACTCCATGCACTTGTTGATGCACATTTATTTATTTCAAACATCACCAGAGAAGGGAACGTTCCCCCAACGTTGGATAACAAGTTCTAATAATGTTTTAAAGAAAATGTATGAATCAAAAGTTCTAAAATAATAATAATGATAATAATAATTTCTAGTAATATTTACCATTGAGGGGATGTTGTCAGGAACACAGATGATGTTCCACTATGGAGGAACGTCCTCAAACCAACATTCAAAAAAGTTCTAGATGTTTTATGGCCTCCTGTAAAGTGATAAAAATTGCCTTTTTGTTGACGGAACACATTTTAGAACGTCTTCTATAAAGTTCTCAAGTTTTTCATGATAACAAATATAGAATGTTGCCAAACCAACATTCAAAAAATGTTTTCCAGATGTTACTGTGGCCTCACTGACAATATCATTCTTGTAATGTTATTTATCAGCAAAGGTGGAACATTGTGGCTGCAATGTTCTGAGGTTGTTTTGGGGATGTTCTTGAGGAACACATGGTAGAACGTTCCTCTATAAAACATTCCCACAATGTTCCATGATAACAAAGGAGAAACGTTCTCAAGCAAACATTCAAAAAATGTTTTTTCAGATGTTATAGAGGCCTCGATGACAATATTATTTATACAATTTGTTTTGTAACGTTCCTGGAATGTGATATATTCAAGGTGGAACATTTTGTCGTTTTGTTGCGAGAGCACATTATTGAACGTTCTCCTATATGACCTTTCAACAAAGATAATAAAGTAAGGATGTTCTTAATACAACATTTAAAAAATGTTGTCAAGGTGTTATTGAGACCTCAGATAATTTTAATAAAACGTTCCTGTAATGTAACTTATCAACAAAGGTGGAACATTCTGGCTGCAATGTTCCGAGGTTGTTTTGGGGATATTCTTGAGGAACACATTATACAGCATTCTTTGATAAAACATTCCCATAATGTTCCATGATAACAGAGTGAAAGTTTCTCAAACCAACGTTCAAAAAATGTTTTTCAGATGTTACTGAGACAACAGATGATAGAACGTTCTTTATAAAACGTTCCTGTACTGTGATATTTTAATAAAGGTGGAACATTCTGGCTACAATGTTCTGAGGACATTCTGGTGATGTTGTTAAGGGAACAAATTATAGAATCTATAAAAATTTCCCACAATGTTACATGATAACAAATATAGAATGTTCTCATACCAACATTCCAAAACAGTTTTCCAGATGTTATTGAGACCTCAGGTGACCTAATGTTAAAATGTTCCTGTGCTGCAAATATATCAATAAAAGTGGAACATTCTGGCTACAGTGTTCTGAGCATATGTTGAAGCAACACAATGTAGAATAAATAAAACGTTTTCACAATGTTACATGATAACAAAGGAAGAATGCTGTCAAATCGACACTCAAAAAACTTTTTTGAAGATGTTACTGAGACTGCAGATGACAGAATGTTCTTTATAAAACATTCCTGTGCTGTGATATATTTACAACTGTGGAACATTCTGCCTGCAATGTTCTGAGGATTTCTTGGGGATGTTATTACGAGCACACATTATAGAATCCATAAAACGTTCCCACAGTGTTCCACAATAGTACATGATGAGAAAAGGAAGAAAGTTCTCAGGGCAACATTCAGTTTTGAGAACATTAAGACATACTGGTCTAACAATGTAATCACCACGCGTTTTTAGAACATCTTATCATAGTTCTCCTGCCTTTGAAAAGAACACTCTGGGAAATAAAGGAAACCATCTTGCTTAAAGTATCAATAGAACTTTGCAAAACTTTTTTTTTAGACCT